CAATAAAACGAAGGAAAAATTACACACAGGTCTCACAAAAAACAATTATAAAATTACCTACTTCCCTCACTGATTGAAAAGGTTGTGATTGGCTGCTGTGTAAGTTGTGACTGTATGCTGTACATGTTGTCATTCAGTTGAGTGTAAGCTGTGATTGGCTTCTATGCATATTGTGAATGATTCAAATGTAAGTTGTAATTGGTTGCTGTGTAAGTTGTAACTATAACTGTGCATGTTGTCATTCAGTGAAGACAAGTACGTAATTTCATAATTTTAATTTTTTACTCTGAAGTCCATAGGAACTTAGGAAGCATTTGCCTAAAACAGAACATAATTCCCACATAATATGCAATTTTGCCTTGTATGTGTATACCCAGAGATGGCGTAGTGTTTGAGCTCTCACGGGCTTTACCTGTAGTAGCATAAAACAGAACATTTTTAAATTAATTTATTAGAATTACATAAATCCGTTTTATATTTTATTTTGGAATTAATAATTAATTTTTTTGCTATCACAATTAATAACTAAATATGTCATTGTTAAGGGTTATATTTCTACGAATTTATAAATCATTGCTCCTTTTGTTCTCAATCAACAAGCTGTATGAGAAAAACCTAAGTTAACGGAATATATAATTTATATAAAGCAAAGTGATTAACAGAATAAATTATAAACACTAGAAATAATGGTTGTATATAGTACATAATCAATAATTACTATGTACAAAGTAGCTGGTTACCAATTCAGTAAGAAAACTAAAATTCAATGGAGTGAATTATACTTAACAAATGAAATGACCATATTGCCCTCAATGACATAATTTAATAATATTTATGTGAGTTTGGAAAAGCAAACCCATCTCTTCAATCTGACCAATGTCTCTTATTTGTGGGGCAAGAAGAAGAGTAAAATAGGCGCAAAATGGGCAATGGAGAAGATAGCAGCAGTGGGAAACTGGAGGCAAGTGTTGATATCCAGAGGTGGTCTGTGCGCTGTGAAGTTTATTTTTTTTTTTTTGGTATAATACGGGGCAAACGCCCAATCAAATCATCTCATTAGCAATCTAGGGTATAAAACCCCCCTGAAATCTCTGTACAACAGAGGCCTCAGTTCATTAGGTGGCTCATCTAACACATTGGCCAACCTATCAAGACTGAAGCTGAAGTTAGCTAAAAAATCTGCACAAGTATTAGCCTCTCTATAAACATGACAAACTAAAATACTATCAAAGCACATAGCCTCTCTACGAATCTGTTTCAGTATGCTAAACTTTATTTCTGTACTGTCAAATATTTCCTTGAGCATGCAAACAGCTGCGCTAGAGTCACTTTCAACAACAAGTTTCCTTATGTTGAGGGCCTTTGCTAACTGCAAACCTGTAAGAATGCCCCAGAGTTCTGCCTTAATGGCGACACAGGCTCCAAGTCGCCTTGCAAAACCTCTCATCCATCGACCTGTATAATCTCTAAGGAGGCCTCCACAACCTGCCAAACCCATACTTCCTTTAGATGCTCCATCTACATTCAGTTTAACCCATCCTACATCTGGAGCGTCCCATCCCACATTTACCACCTTCTTTCTTTAACCCATGTTTGTAAACAGCCCATTACACATGCGTATATCACACACATATTTATTTATTAACAAAACAGGTTCAGCAGGAAAAGAAAAATCAACTGTGAAGTTTATTTATTTATTTATTTTGTAGTTTTGATAACACAGATGTATGTTATAGGTAACAGCGCATGTGTGTGGATGGATGATGAGGAGTTGACTCTTGTGTTAATTCTCTGTGATATGCTGCTGAAGGAAATGTTCGCAAGAGGGTCAAGGTACCTGCCAGGTTACTTAGTGTATATGAAAATAAGATGGAAGAAATACTCCTAGGCTATGAGTTGAAGGGAAGCACTAACATACGAGGGAGTATGTCACAATGGACCAGTCTCTCCTAAAGCTCCTTATGCGAGGGAGCTTGAGGAGAATTTTCTTATTCTGCTAGAGACAAATCCTAATTCCCTTTTTCCAGCCTCCTCCTCCCTTGACGTCTTCCCTTCTTACCTCTACAACGTTTGTTTACCATAGTCCAAAAAGTACTTTGGCTTCACAACCAAGAAGTTAAATTTCTGAAATTTTTAAACGGCACAATCATCTTAATCCTTAAAATAAAGATTGCTAGGACTTTGGTTTAGAACTGGCCCTTATAAATGGTCATCGCATCCATGGGAATAAATGGGTTGAAATAGTTAAGGTAATTTTGCCAGGAAGATATATTTTGTTATGAGATTCGTTCTTGTCGAGAATGAAAATAAGGTTATAATTCTACGTTGCTAGTATGATGATTGAGCAATTTTTCTTAATAGATACCCGACAGAATAAGAGGGGTTTTACATATTTCTGCGAATTTTTCTCTCTCTTTTTCTATGACACTTGCTTCCATTAAATGTATAAAATATTAGCAGTTAACATGAGACTTCGATCCTGTGTCGCAGAGAATGACCAAAGGGGCTTGGGTTCATTGTGAGCATGAAGAAATTTCAAAAAGAACAAGAGAAAAACCACTATCAGACTCGAAGGAAGAAGATGATGGAGATAGGATGTGTAGAACTAATATTTTGAATGTATTGATCATGCCAAAAACAAAAAAACAAAAAGAAGAGAAGAGAAGAGAAGGTACTGATCATCTACATTCCAGAAGCTGAAACAAATAGCATTAAAAAAGCAGATAGGTGTTAGTTTTAAACTTTAGATGAGAGGAGTTACCAATAGCCTTATAACCTAGTGGTATACAAGTTTCTCTTGTAAGTGGGAAGTCACAAGTTCAGTCCCGCTTATAACTTCAAGATGTCAGTGCCTGCCCCTTTAATTCAAAACCAAAAAAGGAAAAGAAAAGATGAGGAGTTATTTGCGGCTGATCTAAAGTTGAGGGAACTTATTTATAATTTATCCTAAGATATATAATTCTTTATGAAAAAGATAATGAACATGGTATAATTTTGATAAATCTCATTTAAAATTCATGAAATTTGTAAATAATGAAATTTAAACCTGAAGCCTGAAAGAACGCACATAATTCAATAAAAATATGTTCGTTTTCAAAAATTAAATTAAGAGAGATGTGATTAAGGCCAGTCCAAACTTGCGTAGGATGACAATTAAAGATGCCAACAAAAAAAGGATAACAATTAATTAAATATTAACGTTAATTAAGTTATATTATATTTTTCAAGAAAAGGAAAAAGAGGGTAGCCTAACTGAGGTAATTTTCTCAAAAATATTTGTTGAATTTATACAGACTCAAACTCAACACTTCATGTTTAAATATCTATAAGCCTTTGAATTATGATGAACCCCAGTCTGTTACTTGTACAGAAGCTATCTAAATACTTCTCCGGTCCTTAATATAAGACCTTGACTAATTTGATTAGATTAAAGAAGTTATGTAAGTTAGTTAATTATAAGAAATATGACACGTTTTTTCTAAAATACCATAATCAGTTAATTATAAGAAATGTGACACGTTTTTTTCTAAAATACCATAATCATCTTTCTTAATACCCCCTTTTCTTCTTCTACTTGATTATGGTTGAGGGAGTATCCCTAGTGGTAATTTAGAGAAAATTGATAAATATGATAAATGAGTCTTATATTTAGGACTAAAACCAATTCAACAGTTAGGTCCTATATTAAGGACCAGTGGAGTACTAAATAAATAGCAGGCTGAAAGCATGCTTATGCTTGAACAAAAAGGAAATCAGGAAATAATTACTATTAATTACATGGTTTTGATTGCAATTAGAATAGCAGAGGTTTCTGTTTTGAGTAGCCTGCTCTTGTAAATTGGCATTCATTTACACCTTTAATCAACATGCTTTTGATTCAGAACTTCAAGCTAAATATGTAGCGGTTGTTGGCTTTTATTTGTACCATTCAAAAGAGGTAGTTTATTATAATAAGTTATGCCCATATATTTGTTTCCAAAGATAAAATCCCATATGCAAGTAAATGTAACTGATAGGGGAGGGCGAAAGAGGGGGGGGAATATTAGCTCTATTATGTCAAGTTCTCTAATAATATATGACTATGTGTACTATTTTTTAAAATATTAATATTTAATTATAAATTCACTTAAAAATTACGACAAAAGGCATTGTGTGATCATAGAACTTGACTTAATGGATATAAAGGAGTTGACCTAGTTATTTTTTTTTTAGGACAAAATTAATGCGATTTAATACTTTTTTAATTGTAATAAAATATAAAGTGATTTATAAATAGAGCTAGAGGATTACAGTGATCAATGAATCTCACTTATAACATCAAGTTGTTAGTACTTATCACTTTAATTTTTTGAAAAAGGTTAATGAGATGGAGAAAAATAAAATCTTAAAAATATTTCTTTTGAAATGTGTTTTTTATTTTCAAGAATATTTGTATAAATGGTTGAAATAGGAGATTTTTTAACAATTGAAATAAAATATAAAAAATTCAGAACATGATACGCAGGTTTTTTTTTTTTTAAATGTAATCGAAATTAACACGCACATGCTAACGCAGGAATTCAACCACACATAACAACCGTAGCACAACTTGCAATTGGCAGCAACGAAAGACAATTTTACGAGAGCATATGTGAGAGGCTTCAAGACTGAGACTTGAGAGAGCAGCCACCTCAATCGTCCTGGGGTTTTCCTTTGTTTTTTTAATGAAAATTATTATTTTGTTGTAACTTGAAATCATTATTATCAGATCACGTCTTTAGAACTATTTAGACAATAACGAAAAATGAGCCTGTCTCGTAGATTCGCAGGGGATCTGACCACCAATGAAACCGGTTCCATTCACAAAACACGACCTTTTTTGTTTTTAATTTTCTGAGCAGAAAGCTACTATCAACCCATTCACGTATCATCGTGACCCTTTTTTTCTTTTAATCTGAACATCAACCCGAGGCCTGAAATGCTTTTTTATTCTGGAGAATTACAATAAAATCTCATAAAAATAACACATTCACAAAAAAGTTTCATAATAACAGAGCAGCTTGAAATGATACATTCCAGGGCATAAATTGACAAGAAGTTTTAACTACTCACTTATCATTGAGATTTTTTACAAGAATCTTTCTTGATCGTAATTTAATTTTTCGTACATTTTGTTCACGTTCTTGCAATAATAGCACAAGTGCAGAACATGAAGGGCAGGGGTGTTTAATATACGTGCAGACTGCAGAACCTGGTTAGGTTATATGGTTACATTGAGAACGACACATAGCCATCAGCATCAACGTCAACAACCTCTGTGACGAGGTTTTTGGTGGAGGGCAAACCAGCAACAACATCTTTTTCAATGCCACACTCATTGGTCCCTCTTCTCATCTTGAAGTAACCATCCTGCACTTGGATTAAAATTTATGATTAAAAAAGGCATAGACATAATACGATACTAGTTCAATTCACGAAGGAATGATTGAAGAAGCATACATCTCCCCAACTTCTATTCCACTGATTCGCAAGGAGCTGAAAAAAATGATCAAGATCAACAAACATGGAATTCTGCTAATATATGAGGCTGCAAAAATTCAAGGGTCTATCATAATAAGGAATGGATTAGCGTACCCAGTAGTCCTCTCCATCATTGGTTGTTCCCCACCCAATTAGCTTTACAGCATGACCTCCTAGTGAGTCCCCAGTGATGTGTTTGTAAACTCCTGATTTATAGTGAGCAAAATCCTATAAAGGACCAAATGAGTAATGATTATCACAACGCTAACAGATTTGCTTGTGACTACTCCAACCACAAGAGAAGACTAAAACACAATCTATTTGTTTGATGTCCTGAGATTGGAGTTTGCATTTTGCTGCGGGTCATTAGGAGCAACCTGAGCAACCTGTATGCTTTATTTTGATTTTTGCAGCTAAGTAGTTGTTGTTTATGTAAACTAATTTCAGCATCTTGCGACTTACAACTCACCTAAATTGATAATTTGTAGATGAAACAATAAACAATATATAAAAACAATTAAAAAAGTTAAAGCTGGCTAACAATTGGTTTTATGTATGCGAAAAGTAGGAAATAAATTTTCTTAAAAAATTATTACATTGAAGTTGCAGCAATTCAATCATAAAAACATACTTAACAGCCATCATTTACCTCATAAACAGTGAACGAGACCTCAACTGGCCCATTTTTATAGACTTCTGCCATGATATCATAGGGATCTGAATTGATCCTATATGCATTGACACTATAATGTTTTGACTTTCTCCAAAAGTGGTTCCGATTCACACACTTCCTGACACACTTGGGAGTAGGATATCCAGGCTCACAACCAGGATGAGAACAGCCAATATCATCAAAGTATGGGTCACACTGATACATTTAAACATTGTTTGTAATAAGACAGTGCAAAGGCAGGAATATGAGGCTGAGATTAAACAAAAATTCTTCAATAAAATTTCAGCGGCAAATAAAGGTAAGATCCAACTGAGGACTCTTGAATTTTCATCTCCAACCACTTTATATGAATTTTACCAAGAGGAAATAATAAGGGAGAATTGAAAACTCCTGACCTCTTCAGTGACAACACCGTGATGATAAGTATCGCCATGCAAAGAGAGGATACCCCCCGTTACAGCCAGACCCACACAAAAATCCACAGCATGCAAGGAGGTCATTAACAGAGAGAGATATGTTCTGCAATTAAAACATTTAAACTACAAAATCTGAAGGAAGAGAGAATAGACTACAAATTTGAGAAGGTAAACACCCAACACAAAGTAACCAATATAAAGTAAAACAAAAGCCAGTTACCATGCCAAAATGAATGCAAAAACGATCTGACAATGATTCAACAGCACCAAATGCCCAACAAGAACCACAGTGACCCTGAACAATCAGCAAATAGACCTGCTAAGAATTTTGTTTAACCTTCAATCTATAAAAAGTTGTTGCGTTGAAAAATGAACGGAGTTACCTGATCTGTAATCAGGAAATTATTCACCATTCCATGCATTTATCGAGGAAAGAGATGAGTGAGCACTTTGTTCCAAATTAATCAGTTATCTAAGAATACAATAATATCAAGGAGAAGGAGCAAGTAAACAACCTAGAATTCTTCCAATAGTGCTACACTGAGACCAAGCTGTTCTTGCGTCAAACTCATTTGGTAACTTCAATGATTTTGAATGGGTTACAACGGGAGTACTACTCAGATCATGTTTAGGTGTTGGTTTGACTCCAAGAAGCTGCTTAAATTGACCAACCTGTAAATGAAGATTAGATCTTGGGAACTTGAAGCTTATTGCAAAATCAAATATGTGCAAGCGAAAACTGCGTTAAATGGTGAACAGAAAACAGGTCAGGGAAAGTCGAATGCTAACAGTGTAATTAGAGAAACGAGGATTCATGGCAGCCTCCCATCCTGCCGCAGGATTTTCATTAATCTGCTTAGCGATTGACTCCTGCACGGCAATATCTAAAGTTTAGCATACCATTTGACCCAAATACAAAATACTCACCCTAAAAAGCAAAAGGCAATACTATCTCAGGTGATAACACCATTCCCGTATCAGAAATCTGGTTGAGTAAGAAATCTTTATGACTGGTATTGGGTAGTTAGGAACAGTTTATCTCAGGCGCTGAGCATAAAAGGAGATTTGCTTGCATGGAATGGAAATTACCTGAAGAATATGAGAATTGAGCTTGAAACTAGAAATTTTTTCTGCTTCAGCCTCAATGATCTGTTAACAACATATGATTTCTTTAGTTCCCTAAAGTGATTTCATAGCATCGCTTGACCAATAATTTGCACCTAAAATAAGTTAAAGACACTCGTAACAAGAAAGCAAAAAAAAACCCAAGCACGGGAATTTTATTTTCATCAATTACAAAAACACTAGAGGAGAAATCAAATCCACGAAATTCAATCAAAATAGCAAATAATAATATCGTAAAAATCAGGAACAGGGGAGCGAAAAATGAGAAATACCACGACGGAGAAGGCCGAAAACAAAGCGAGCAGAGGGAAGAGAGCAGAAGCCATTTCCCCGCCTCCGGGTGAAGCAAGCCTGATGAGGTACGATCTCAAGACTGGAGCCTAGATGTTGCCAATAAGGGATTGGGTTACGCTGATCATGATCTGAATCTCGAGAATAATTGACAAATAAATTTTTTTGGGATCAAAATCATCGATAAAATTAAATTAAAAGCAGTAAGAAATGGCGTAATGTCACCACTAAAAGTTATTTAAAATTAATTAAGATAGTTAAATTAATAGACTCAGTTCAAAAAACATGTAACTTATTTTCTTAAAACACTGTTATTTATAGGGAGGGTTAATGAGGGAGAGCTGGGGAAAAAGAGAGATGAAAGAAAATTAGTTAAAAAAGATGTGAGAGAAACATATAATTAATTACAGATAAAAATAAAAAAATATGGATTAAATGTTCAGATAAATTCAAAAATAATGCTCATAAAAAAATCAAGTTCTTTCACAGATCTAATACTTATATTTTGTGCTAGGAAAAAAAAAAATACTCTGCTTATATTTTGAATCGAAAAGAAAAGAGTATAATAAATAAAATTTTAAAAATAATTTTAGCTATCAATATTAATTTAGGCCTATTCGATGGACATGATAGTCAATCAACTTGATTTTAAATTAAAAATTATTTAAATTTTATTGGAATGATATAAATATACTTTTTTTTTTTGAAATTTTTAACTTAAAGAGATACTCCTTTAGTCTATTTATAAGGTAGGGAAAAAATATTTTTCTTTGTATTATGTATAGGTCACTTCACAAATTTTTTTTATCCTTCATTCATTATAATATAAATAATTTTCTTAAAGATATATATATATATATATATATATATTAAATAGGGTTACCTTTTTACATTTATTATAAATTTTAAATAACTAATTTGTCGCATGACAAAAAATTAATTAAAATCATTTAAAAACAATAATTAGGTAAAATATATACTTGAAAAAACTCCCAAAAAAATACTTTTAAAATTTCAAAATCCTAAATCAAGATTCACTCCAAAATTGTGTTGTTATTTACTTTTCAAATATTATTAATTATTATTAAAATATAGTAAATAAGACTGATTTGGAATTTTGGAATTTAAATGTATTTTTTTGGAATTCTTCCTATATACTTTTGTTTCAAAATATCCCTTTTATAATAAATGAAAAAAGAAAAAAAATGAAAGAAAAAAAATATAATAAGAGGATGTGGCAAATTAGAGAGAATAAATAATTAAAAATATATTTAATGATGAAACAAATTTAAATTAAAACTTATAAAATAACTCACACTCCTTCCCAATTTTAAAGATTATAAATAAGAGTCAAGGGAGTACAAATTTGATGCATCATTGCCAACGCCACGCTAACTGGATTCTTTCGGTGAAATTTCATACTTTGTTGCTATGAGTACTGGACGCATGTTGAATTGAAAAAATTATATCACTAAACGAGCATTTTACGGACATTTTCTTTGTATTACTTCATTGGCATTTTATTCTTCGTCCTATTATTTTTTAACCAAAAAACAGGAGTCCATTTTATTGGTAACCAAATAATCTTCTTCCTACTAGTACGTCAGAAATTGTGCGCAACAGGTGCCACTGGAGACTAAACTCCGTTTTTGTGATCGGTCTGCTTCATAGTCCACATATGCAGGAGGATAGACAAAGGAGGAAAAAGAGAACGTAGCCGTGAAGCAAACTCATCATTGATACACTACTTTTGATCCTTAATATAATTCTTAATGTAAAAGCTTTTTTTTTTTTTTGCCAGAAATGTTTCTATTCATATCATTTAAAACTAAAAACAGTCTACAAAACACCACAATACAACCCAAACAAAGAGCAACTGAAATCAAAACCAACACAACATAGACAAGTCTTGTATGTGTTCCTAAGAAAATGAATTTGTCCATTTTTTCGAGTCTCAAAGGGGCATGAAAACATAAAAGAACTCTTGAATTGAGATGAAAAAAATAGAAACAATTCAAAACAAGAAGCAAGCAGAAAGGAACAATCTACGTACTGAACAACGCTAGCCAAATCCTAACACTTCAAACGAACAATAATGGCTATAGTAGTGGTAGTCCCAAAGACTTGCTCAACAATTGAGCCCAAACTTCTTGACGCCAATGTTGCATCTGCAACGGTAGCTTTAAACCTCTCCTTTGAACCAATAGAGGAAGAGACCTGCTGAAAGCCTAATAGCACCAACAATTAAACGCAACACTTTCCTTATAACTAGACAATCCCATCTTCCCAGTGGAACCCATCTCAAATCATCCTGTTTCTTTAAAGTAATCTGTCCAATGGTTGCGAAAAAATCTTCTCTTCGAGATAAAAACAACAAACAAAAACCTCACCACAATATTCATCTCTGCAAACTTAGCTACATAAAGAGCATCACAATATAAAGACGCAACTAAATCCGTAACAGATTCAATGTTGCTTATGAGAGAGCTATAATTCGGCCACAAACTATCCTTATAATCAGCAAAAAAAGGCCATATTAGATTCTCAAATAAAGGTATAACAATCAATTGAAGAATCTCATATCACGCCAAATCCAATCTTAACTGACTCTCCTTTCTTTCCGTTGCTTTTCCACATAAAGGATAATCAACGGACATTCCAAAATCTCTCTTCAACCAATTCCAGAGTAACAGGTTAATAAAAATTCCACCAAACAGAGTAGGACAGAGCAAAAATTATCATACCTTAGGATTATTAGATTTGAGAATCTCCATCAGCATAATAGCACCTCCATGGAGTCAGTAATGGTACAAGTGACAGAAGTATATTCAATTAAAGCTTACATCGCTTAGCATCCTCAAGTCGGACGAAAAAGAGAGCTCTGATATTGATGTTATTATAGCAGAGGTTATTCTTGAAAATTCCTTCCATCGATGAAACCGTAGCTTTCATAGCCTGATTGTTCTCATCGCTCATCAATCTTTGCAATGCAATCCATGATTCCCTCAACCTCTATCACTTAGACGTTCGTTCCGCTGGGGATATGTCTTCGATTGACTTAGCTCCACCGTGATTATCATCTTCCTTTTCGAATTTTCACAGATCTATAAACATTCTACACCTCACAAAGCGATCTCTTCTTCATCAAAATCATTATTGCCAACTAGAGGTGGAAGTATGGCCCTATAAGGTCAACCCTGCAGGGCCAATGGATTTGAAAGGATGACCAAAATTTCAAAAATATCTCAATTTACTAGGCTTGGCTCTTAATTTGATGGGCTCATGACCGGCTTAGGACTTTCGGCCTTTTTAAGGGGAAAAAAACGATTTTTCATATTTCTCACGTTTTTTATTAACAAATAAAAACAAACCAATAAAATTATTAATAAAAGACATAAATATGAATAAAATTAAGTCACAAATATAAAAATATTATCATATCTAAATATCTATCAACATCCAAGAACATATAAAATATCTATTAACAAGACGACGAGCTATAACCCTTGTGTTTTTTATACATATTTTATCATATTATGTAGGAAATTTATTGTCAAGATGAATATTACATGATCTAACCTCTTTGATTGGTATTGCTTATAAGTAATATTCCATTTATAATAAATCGATATGATAGGTTCCACTTATTTTTCTTTAGAATAATAAATGACCTGCTTAACTCTAACATCTAAAAATTTCATCAATGGTGCAAATGTGTAATAAAAAAACATTATCATTAATTTTTTTTGTAACTTGCCAGACTCGACCTGTTTTTCTGGCTCTATTGCCAACAGCCTCAAATATGTAGAGAAATCAACACACACGTGTCCTTAGCTCACGCATATTGCTGGCCGTCCTCTCCCACGACAGTTGTTGGGGAGAGGCACTGGAAAAACGGCTCCCCAGTGGGGAAAAACCCTGAACCGTATAATTTATTAGACCTAGTTAATGTATCAAATTTGGTTCCAACTGCCAAGTATAACGCTTTAATTAATTTTATCTCCCAAATTTATAAGTTTTTTTTAAAATTATATTCTTATTATTTGAAAGAAATTATCATAAAAGGATAGTTTTAATAGACATGATTAAAGATGATAATTTAAGAAAGTCAATATGCATTTGTTATCAGTAACCAGTTAAACTAATTTTTTTAATTTTTTAAAATTTATTATCTAATTCGGATAAAAGATGTATTACATTTAATAATTCAATGATTAGATGAACTTCAATAGTTCCATGGAGAAATTAAAATTCAAAAAATATAACATGATAATGCCCAATCCTCTCTAAGCAGGTAGGGTGAATGCTTGGCCCGCCATTGCCAGCCCAAAAAAAGGGTTGGCCTAATGAACTATTCTTTCGTTTTCAACAGTTAAATTTACAATTACTAACCCATACAGTTAAGGGTCTATATATTTAGATTGACAGTAAAAAAAAAACTTATTTTTAATTGTTCTTTTAAAAATTTAAAATTGAATAAAAATTAAATTATATAATGTAATCTATGTTTGAATTGTTTTTTTTTATAAATAAGTTAATATGTAAAAGTGGAGTTCGTTGGATGATCATTAAAAAAGCAAGTTTAATTGTGAAATGATTAAAAAAAAAATTTTATTAAATAATATATATTATATAATCCTGCCGGTCCTCTTTATAAGCTCATAATTTAGGAAGGGATGTGATCTAGTTTATAAGTTTCTGTTCTGGTTTGTACTAACGTTTAATGTGTTTTTTCCCTCAATTTTACACTTGATTATTTATTCTTTCTCTTTTGTCATATTCTCTCTTGTTACATTTTCTCACACTTTTTTTTTATTCTTTTTCTTATTTATTATAAGAACATATTTAAAAATAAAAGCATATTTCTAACCTATTTATTACTTTCAACTAATTTTAATTGATTTTTTCATTATTTACAAATTAGTTATTTGAAGCCTATATAATAAGAATTGGAGGTAGTAATAAATTTCTTAAGTGTGACATCTCCCTCTCTGTTTTTTTTTTTTAAATTTTTCTCTTTTTTTTTTTGATCAGAAAATTTTTTAAATTTTTCTCTGCATGTTTTAAAAGCCAAAAGTTATAAGC